CCCAGTCGAAACAGGATTTAGGAATGAAGAAATTTGAAGAAGTATCTGGGAGATGGTCAGTGAATCGAGAAGTGTATGAACCCAGGCTGACTGGTTATTGCGAGGATTATCTGGTGTATATGTCCAAACAAGGTACTCCAAGCTGAGTAGAACTAATAACAACATCAACAATATCGAAAACTTACAGAACTATTCGATTTAGGAATTCGCATATCATTATACTCCCTCCCCAACTGGATCTGGACGAAACCTTTCTCGAAGCGGCTGCTACGTTTTTGATTGAACAGTTATCAAAGTGTATATCCACTTAAAATCGGATGAAAAATATACACGTGACAGCACTAAATAAAACAAGCTAAGCGTCAGGCTGTTCAGTTATGAAGTTCAAGTCGTTCTAAAACTGCTTCGCACTCTCTATGTTTCGTGTTGCACTACACAGCATACTATTTTCGCACAAAAACCGATGATTTTCAGAAAGATAATAGATCCGTTTATTTACAAACATTGACAGTGTCCATAAAAACTCGTTTAAGATGACTAATGAACCCCATTTCATACCAGACCCACATCCCCCCAACCGACAGTAACAAGCCTTTAGGACAGTGATAGAACATTTTTACTGATCGCTTCGGAAAAGGTCAAGAGCTATCACTAAAATACCTAAGTGATCCACTTCCATTAATCTTCAAAACCTTGACGACTAACGCAGTTAAATCCTCAAGACAACTATGAATAAGACGTTTTTTGTGAGGTAGTTCTGAGTTTTAGTCTCTTAAAGTCATCTCAGTGATCTGCTGACCAACTTGAATAATAAGGCGACAAGGTATACACGTCACGTTTCATTGAGACAAAATCAATCGTTAAAGAATGACCTGAAGTCATTAAACTATGCTGTTTGAAACATAAAATTTTTGGAAAATTTGGATACGTACACATTAAAAAGTGGCCACGGAAATATTTCGACTGATGGAGTTAAGTAATGAAAGATAGGAAAATTATTACATTAAACTTTAGATGAGCACTTCATATTATAGTTTGCGTCACAGCTGATCACAGTTAGATAACGGATAAAAGCCAGGAAGCCCCACACATCTGTTTCACGATAGGATGGCACTTCTCGAAGATCACATTATGAAAAGCCAAATTAGGATAATTGGATTTGATGTATCGACTAATAATTCTCGAGACCCCTCAGTACATCATACCTCAGTAGTCGAGAATGTACAAAGACCAAGGTAAGAAAGAAAGCGGTGGAGATACTTGTAGGTATATAACTTGTAAACGGAATAGAGTGCACGAAAAACATATACATTCACAAAGCACCGGGTGTCGGACCTCTATCTCGTGGCAAGGGATTTACCCTAGGATCGCTGAACCAATGAACGTCCAACCAGCTTTCTGGTGGTACGGTGCCCATGCTAATTTCGATCCTTCATGGAGTTATGAATGTTTTGTTCAGCTGGGATTAATATTCGTCCCGTGCTGAATGATTTTCAGCTGTTATTTAAGACCAGTCCGTGATTTAGGCAGTAAGAACAGTTTTTATTTAAAGTGTAACGCAAGTTGTTTTATAAGTAGTGTAAACTGTGCAGTCCTAGAGCAGTAATATTACCGCAATGGAAAAACGGAACTGGATGAGGATAAGTTCACATACACGTTATTTTGAAAGATTCTTAGCTGCTAGCTTCAAAACCTTCATAAATTAATTGGTGACCTAAAGGTTAAGTGCTTTTCATTGGGGTTAATTTTCTAAGGAGAGACTAATATATACATAAATGAGAATTTTCGCATTTTATTCAGTTGTCTAATACACTTTCTCGCCCAAGTAGTCAGTTGAACGGTTAGCGCGTAGCACACCGTGTACCAACATCAGATTTTGGACGTCGCACATCACAACATACATGTTATCTCTCAAGTCGAAATTCATGTAGGTTGTGTTTCGAGATACAAGCAATAAATATATTTGGAATAATCATGTAAACTGACAGAATCAGTTGGCACACCAATGTGGAATTCGTTGTGCATGGACTACCTAAACAGGAAATTTCCGCATCATAAAAGATCCACCATAGTGGCCTTATGTAGAAAATTGTAGTGTTTTCACGACAATTAGACCGAGGCAATTATCAGACACTCGCTGTCATCCCATTAATATGGATGATCCCCAATCTATGATCATCTCGCTGTGAACAAATTCATGCTTCTTTCAAAATGATCTTTCCATGGTGTAGAACAGCGTGATGCTAAAATCCGATAGATGAACTATGATTTCGGGGGAGATGTCCCCAATTTGTGAAACGGTTTTTGTCGACAATGCCAAACCTTCGTGTATCGGATATAACGTATTGTATCGAGATATAGGCCCCCAAATACCGTGGTATGGCAAAAAATGAGAAGAGTCACCTCTCCCTCTCCAAATGCTCTCACATGGTCACGCATATACAGCCACTCATAGGGAAGTCCTACTCACTGCCTTCTCGCCGAATTACTGTTGTTTAACAAGTTGAGAGGACCAAAAGCGAATGTCCAGCTCTTAGAGCGGGTTGATGGACACGGAGAGTCCACCAAGGAGAGCTGGAGAACCATCATTCCAAACCATTGGTGTACATGAGATGGAACCCATGATCCTGAAGGAACAAAAGGCTTATAAACCAATCGTTGGTCATCAGCCACTACGTTGCTTCACTGCCTTGTGAATAATACCTTTAGTTCGAAGACTTCGGGTATGGCCCCCTAATAAAACCACCTGCTCCGGTTCGGGCACCCAGGCAGTATCCTAGCCCTGACACAAATCAAATGAGATTTGTGTGGCACATATGTATCTGACGCCTTCTTTTACCAATGTTTATGTGTTCAAATAAATAAATAATCGAGATATAGACTGTTTCCGTGATACAATGACTGTCAAATCTAAATATATGGTACTAGGCCAATATTTGACCATTTGACAATATTAAATGAATCAAGAAATATAATGAATAAGGATCGATATAGTAAAACAGATTTTCCAATCGATCTCTCTACTCAATAATTGATAGATACGCTTCAAATAGCTGAAGTTTCATAAATCCACAATTTTAACTAGAAAGAATAAACTAAACTGATTCCAATAAATAAGAAAACAAACTATCAACTGTTCAATCAGTTGAACAAACACAAATTTTTTTTTAAAAGATAGAATAAGAAAAACTTATAATTAACCATTATTTGATTGTGTTAATGATAAACAACTAAGAGAATTCAAATGAAATCAACACATATTAATCTAAAATGATCCATATCTCTATATATATTTTTACAATATACTTACAAGATCATTAAATTATGATTCATAACAAATTAATGATTGATATCCAGAAGGCATTCAGTAAATAGAGCAAAACCAAACAACATTTTGAATAGAGGTTGTTTTGTTTTATTAATAAAAGTAATATACCCTAACAACAGAAATAAAATTCTGATAATAAAAAAAGAAGAAGACAAATATAAACTAATAAATACACACTATTGAGAATATTGAAAAAACAACAAACAATTATGTCCCGATTCTATTTTCTCTTTGTTTTGTTTACCGGTTAAACAAACAAACAAACAAATAAACAAAAATGACTTCATGTTGTTTAAAAGTGATAAGCATAAGCAAACTAGTCATTTGAATGAGAAATATATATATATATATATATATATATATATATATATATATATATATATATATATAATATGAGTAGTAGATTCAACAATATAGCAAAATAAGTTTCAAAGGGATGTTGTTGTTGTGGTTTATTGATTTTTATTTCAAAAATCAAAACACATAATGGAATAGGCATTTGCGGTGATGGACAATTGTACTAGTGAGTGAATAAAATATTGTTTGTTTGTTTTGCTTTTTCGAAAAAAAAAGAAAAGAAAGAAAGAAAGAAAAGAGAAAAGAAAATGTTTCTCTCCTTTTTTTTCTTTTTCTTTGAAACAATAATAAAACCATGTATAAATATAGAAATGGATGTCAAAAACAACAACAAACAAACAAACAAACAATCAAGCATTTGTGATTATGATTATCTTATACCGGGAATAGTGATTACGTTTAAAAGGTTATACCTATATTTATTTAATTGAATAATAATATATAAATGACATAATAAATGAATTCATTGAATCATCTACAATGAAAGGTTATATCACAAAATAAACATAGAAAAGTAGTTGATGAATAAATGAAAAATAAGCATGTTTGTGTGTTGTGGATGTCTGTCTGCGTGTGTGTGTGTGTGTGCATATTAACACTAAAGTTACATAATAACATAGGGAGAAAGAAAACAAAAATTACCCAACACACACATATACATAAACATATATGGGAACTAAATTTCATTTTAAAGAAAAGAATTAATAAAGGGGGAAATGTAAAAAAGAAATTAAACAACGATAAACTATTTTTTAAAAAAAATAAACATAATCCATTCGAGTTACATCATATGTATGTATGTGTGTATGTATACATTCAACGGACCATTCATTTCCTATACAGTACATAATCAAAGGATAACACAAGCGAATCATCCTATGCACACTTGGAATAATAATGATAAATAATTCTATGTATAGACGACTATCTCTATTCTTTATTTTATACAAAACAATAATAATAACTGGTAGCCAATAGATTTACAAGAGGTTAAACAATAAAAAATAATAATAGTGATATAAAAACAAGAAAACAATCAAAAGTTTCACTGTATCACTACCATCACTACCGCCACCACCATCACCATCATCACTACACCTATTCACAGTTTCCAGTTAATAAAGTTGTGTTTTTTTTAAAGAAAAGAAAGCTGGGAATAATCTGTAGGTTTGTTATTGATAGCTTAATAACCATTTATAATGTTCGTTTATTCAATCTTCTATGTAGAACACTTTTCTTTCTCTCTGTCTTTTAATATTTTGTCTTATAAATGCATGTGTATATACACATGTGATCCATTTGTTTCAAAGATCATTTAATTTTGAACATTACGTATATGAGATTCTTTAGCTTCGAATTCTTTTACTTCATGAAATATACGCGCTTTCCATTCTTCAACTGATAAATTTCTTTCACTAAGTGAATCATCATATGGAGCTGGCGGTGGCTAAAAGTAAAAGGAAAACGAAAATAATAGATAAATTGTGTTCAAAACAAATAGTGTGGATATACAACACAGGATTAGTATTAGTAGTAATAATAAGATGATTTACAACCTCTTTCAGAGAAGTTCTATTAACTGCTATTTACATTTCAGTATTCTGCTGAAGTTAAGGATTGAAGAAGATGTCTCTTATGGAAGTTCCGTTATGAGTAGACTTTAAATCAACAAACGTTATTTTTTGCTGATATGTCAGTGAACATCATATCTGGCATAACTATTCTCAGACCAACTATATTATTATCATCAGTTTTTCTACCTTCACTTTCAGAGGCAGACTGCACAAAAAAAGCCAGACTGAGAACCTGGAGATTTTCGCTACTAACTTATGTAATATCGCATAGACGTGCTTAGGAATTTCAGGAGCAGCGAGGTAAAGTCATCGTCTGTCGGTTTAGACAGTATAATCCACTTGTGTTTAACAGAGCTGACGTCAATGTCATATGCTAAGTGTCATAGTCTAACATCACCGCTAATGAATCTAATTTCAAACCAATAAAGTTCAATAAAGTTTGAATAAAGGGATCACTATTATTATCATCATTAGTTCTTACCCCACTAAAAAATATATATGAACATTAGTTGCATTCACGAAATACGATAAAAGTCAAAGCTTAAATTCATAAAAAATCAGGTTGCAAGAACTCCAACCAATCTTTTGACGTTCATCGATTTAACACGATAGATTGGAAGTACGTCAATGTGTGCAAACTATATAACGGAAAATTTTTACGAAGAGTACGTGAAGATTATAAAAGCTGAAAGTCAAGATTCCTCACTACAGTGAAAGTAGTAGGAGCATCTAAAAATTTTCAATTGTTTTCATGTATCCGAAACCCTGAACATATCTTCACCTTATATTCAGTGCTTGAATATCATAAGATGTACTCAAAACGAACAGTCGCTGTATATTTTGATTCGAAAACTGCTGTCGACTCACAGAACGGGATTATGCTCTGGAATTTTTACTTAAAGAGGAGGAGTGCCTGATAAAGTTATTAATTCGAAAACACCTTAGATAAATTAATGAAATATAAACAAAAATTCTTCTTTTAAAATGATTTAGGTCAGGTTCATTCGATGAACCGTTATTCCTGGTGAAGATTAAACATATTAATACCTAGAGTCAGAAATATATATGTTTATAAAACTCTTGGGAAACTACATTTCCATATATCAACTAACGTACCGCGTTTACTTCAGAGTCTTCGTACCATACGTGTATATATGGGTGATGAAGAGCATCATCAACTGAAATTCTTTGTAATGGATCAATTACTAACATTCTACTTAATAAGTCTCGAGCTTGGTCAGCGTTTAGTGTTTCATGATCCTATCAAAATATAGAAAGAAAGAGGAAAGTGGAAAAAACCATAAAGGGTAAATAAGACGAACCACAAACTAAACTTGCAAAACTGATGCTTTCATTGGCAACTTAAAAGATCAAGTGAAATCATGAGCAGTCTTAGCAAACATCTTAATAAGTAAGTGAAGAAACAAGTATCTACTTGTTAATATTTATCTACAGAAAGGTGATATGGATATTCAGTTTGTTTGAACGTGATATTCTCAAAAGACCAAAGAACACATTAAATCGATAAAAAGCAGATATGAAAAGGATGAATAACAACGGGAAAGGATTGGATGGAGAGTGGTGGTGGGCGGCCTATGTTCCTCCACGAGGAGTAGAAGGCGTAAGCAAGTAATACTCAGAAGAGTCGCTAAAAACCAGGAATTATTCGATAGTTTTTTTATATGTGTGTTTGAGTTCCGAAAATAAATAAATACGAGACCGCTTTGTGCGATAACACGTTATTCTTTTATTTTAGGGTAAAATTTCAATGTTTGATAACTAGGGATTTCAAGCAGGAACCATCCAATAAATTTCTTGAGCATTCATCTTTACGTTGAAATCGGTTAGAGCTGCAGTACAGTGTTTCTGGCCAGATTTCCAGCATACTATTTTGATTTCATTTATAATGGGTTACACGAAATAATAATAGAAGGCTGCATCATATATGTATAAATCCATATCTAACTGACGATTCTTAAACTAATATAAAATGGGTTCGAATCTCGCGGGGGAGGCAGGATCGTGGATGCACACTGCTGAGGAGTCCCATACTAGAACGAAACGGCCGTCCAGTGCTTTCAGGTTTTCCATGGTGGTCTAGCTTCAAATGACTCATAATTTCAACTATTGTAATATAAAATGATTGTTTATTACACTACATTTTTCTGTGATTTATGATGGGAAATTACCTTCAAATTTCTTACTTCTATACAAAAGACAACTTTTAAAAGTTCACTCTCCTAAACCTTCTTTTTACAAGCATTCCACTTCTGATCGATGTCACATACTACTTATGTCTGTCGACGTAAGTAGCATACACCATAATTGTAATTCTTCTTTATCTTTTAAATTTGTATTTTTGGGTTTTCAATTAATGGTCATTATTCTCAAACTTTAGCTACCACATTTAATAGTATACGGTCATTGTAGTAAATTGAATAGATACACCGCTTATACTGGATCTACACACTCAAATAAGCATTCCATTAAAGTTATTATTTGCCTTTTGATCTATTTGTTATTTATGTCAAATTATTCATAGTTATTTTGTTCGCTTTAATTAATGTCTTATTATTTTCGTTTCTCAGACATTTTCCATCGTTGCCTTTAGCCTTTTTCTTTCGCTATGAACTCAATTTTATGTTACTACAGTAGAAAATATTTTAGTTATTCATTAGATAGAAAAGAAAAAGTCTACGTAGAACCGTCAATTGTGTTAAATTGGATTACGTGGGCTACTTTGTATCTTATTGACAGTTAACTTTGGTAGATAAAATTTATTTAGATAATTGGCAAAGGAATTAACGATAAAGAAAATTGTATGTTGTACTAAACAGTTAAGAGGTATAACGAACTAATTCATTCAATTAGCTTGATGGTAATGTGACATTTATTTATTTAAACACATAAACATTGGTAGAAAGAGGCACTAGATAGATATACACCACATAGATCATTCAGCTTGTATGAGGGCTAGGATACTGCCTGGGTGCCCGAACCGAAGCCTTCGAACTAAAGGTTTGATTCACAAGGCAGTGGAGCAACGTAAGGAGATTCAGTCCCATAGTGGCTGATGACCAACGATTGGTTTATAAGCCTTTTGTTCCTTCAGGATCATGGGTTCCATCTCATGTACACCAATGGTTTGGAATGATGGTTCTCCAGCTCTCCTTGGTGGACTCTCCGTGTCCATCAACCCGCTCTAAGAGCTGGACATTCGCTTTTGGTCCTCTCAACTTGTTAAACAGTAATTCCGCGAGAAGGCAGTGAGTACGACTTCCCTATGAGTGGCTGTATATGCGTGACCATGTGAGAGCATTTGGGGACAATGTGATGTTAATTAAACACTAAACATTGGGTCACACTAAAAGATGAAGCGTCACATTTATAAATATTTTTACAACTCAACTAACGGATAGTGAATCATAAGTGTAAAATTAAGCAATCGATACAGAGCCAGTCCTAAAAACACTTTACATTTAGGCGACAAACAGATTTCAGAATTTTTGCATGGTAGATTAACCACTGAAAAAGTCTTTAGGTAAGAAAGCAATCTTTGAAACGTCGTACTACGAATGAGGTGACAGATAATCACAGTCAAAAATCAAGTAATCAGTTAGCCGAGACTATAATTTATGGACGAACCAATCAGATTTAGGATGACAGGTCTCGGATTTTGGTGCGAAATTCATTCATCCAACTGTCTAAACTTCGTCCTGGCATTTTAACTGATGTCAGTTCGTGATGAAAACCATAAATCTAATTCCTAACCCTGACCATCAACTGTAAATCATAACTCTTACTCTTCATACTGTTTTATAACCATCATTTAGCCCTAGTAAGTGAACATTCCCAGGGTCACTTCAGCGTAGCCCAAAGGTCGTCCATAAATTATAGTCTCAGCATCAGTTACTTGTGCCCCCAAATACCCCGGTGTAGCCGAGGATGGGGAGAGTCACTTCTCCCTCTAGAAATGTTCTCAAGTGGTTACGTGCATACAACCATTGACACACAAGTCCTACTCACTGCCTTTACACGGCATTACCGTTGTTTAGGAAATTGAGGACGAAAAGTGGACATCCGGAGCTTTAATTGGGCTGGTGGACACGGAGACTCCACTAAGCGGAGTTGTAAAACCCTCATTCCAAACCAATGGTGTCCATGGGTTCCAGGATCCTGAAGGAACAAATGGTGTATGAACCTACTGTTGATCACCGGCTACCATGGGACTGCATCTCCTGACGTTGCTTCACTGCCTTGTGGATCAGACCTTTTGGGTCGAAGGCTCAGAGTGTGACTCCCTAAGAAAACAACTTGTTTCAGTCTGGGCACCCGTGCAGTATCACAACCCTCACACGAATCGAATGATTTATGTGGCGCATATCTATTTGGTGTCTCCTTGAACCAATGTTCATGTGTTTAAATAAATAAATAAATGTGCACATTTGGTATTGGTATGGTGCATCATAAAACTTACGGCAATATGGATCTCCTGCAAACATGATATATATGTGTAACACAAGTCATACTGCAAGCCTGAATGACCCGGTTAAAATGCAGTAGAATCACCCAGATGGTTAGCAATTAGTAATCACATTATCTAGGGAACTTGAAAGTAAGATATTCTTCATAAAACACATATGTTAAGTAAATCCTAAATTAGTACATCAGGCAAGCGTTAGCCAGGAATGAACTTTTGTGAAAAAAAGGAACAATATAAATGATAAGGCAATTATGAGATCGCTCAATTTATACTAATGTTAAAGCCTTACTAGTAGTGGTAACTGGGAGTGTTTTTGTTTCAATCCAGTTCATCACATTCTCCCGATTGGTTGTCATTAATTATAGTCTATTAATTTTCTATATGTTTCAGGGTTATCCATTCGTTACTAAATGTACTGAGTTGTACCATATCAAATTTATATTACATCCGTTTAAAACTTCGTTTTTTGCCTATTATGGCCCATTATCATCGTTGAAGTATTGGATGTGAAACACGTGGTATATTCGAGTTCATATTTCTTAATGTGTGTATCAAAAGATTCTCAATCGCTCGTAAATAGAATTCACTTTACTCCAACCAGGAACCTAAATATGTAGTTAGTTTTTATTTTTCAAGATAGAAGAAAATGAATAAAGATTATACTAGGGAACTCCGGTTTACGGACATTTCAATATTCAGCTTCATGATAAATAATGCAAGGTTCTTGTGAATGAATAAAATGAACAGAAGTGAGTAAAATAATCAGTACCACTGAAAATTTGTTGGCCAGATACTCCCAGCAACAACCTACTGTGGGAGAGAACAAACCAGATTACAGGGGAGGAAGAAATCAAGAAGAAGCGGTGGAAGTGGATAAGATACATTGAGGAGATCCCCCACCTGCGTCACAATGCAAACCCTCACTTGTAATCCTCAAGGCCAAAGGAAAAGAGGAAGACGAAAGAACACATTGCACCGAGAAATGGAAATAGACATGAGAAAAATGAACAAAAACTGGATAGAACTACAAAAATGGCCCAGGACAGAGTGGGTTGAAGAATACTGGTCGACGGCCTATGCTCCATTGGGAGTAACAGGCGTAAGTATGTAACTGAAAATTTACAAATGATAAAAATTGTTAATCTATATAATATACAAAAGGCATGGAAAAACAACCATATTCGAATATAGCTTCTAATATGTGGAAAGTGCTTTGAGACATAAAAGGTTAAAAAAAGAAAGAATTGAAATAACTTACAGTGCTAGGTGGAGGGAAACGATCATCTGGAAAAAGTTCAGTAAATGAACGTGGTTCATTTTTTGGACGTGACATTACATAATTACGAACAGCATATTCTAAACGATTCATAAATTCTGGTCCTGGTGTTCCAAGTTCTTCGGTAATTTTAGTCCATTGATCAATATGATCATAACCGGGGAATAGAATTCTTTCTAAAACCATTTCAGCAAATATACAACCAACTGACCAAATATCTACATTTTCAGAATAACCCATACCTAAAATAACTTCTGGAGCACGATAATAACTATAAAAAGAAATAATTTTATAGAAGTTTTAATTCAGTATTTTAAAACTAAAATTTACGTTTATAAACATAAATATATCAAATTTACAACAGTATACAAACACTAAAATTGGAAAGTCCATCCTGAACGACATCGTTCAGAAGAACAATGAAAGCCCCACAGACAAACCATCCAGCTCAGAGAAGAAAACTCCATCAAAATCATCCACCTGAGCTAAAAATCTTCTCTACCATCTGAAAAGTCCATTGAACCAAATAGGTTTTTTTAAAACTGTATTGTGGTCTGTTATAATTCTCTCTTGTTACAACCCAGCCATTCCTATTGCTTGTTATTCTTGGTCACCAATTCACTCGACATATCCTCAAATCAGAACACGGTTGAATAGGAAAGAGATTATATTCCAAATAACAAGGTTAGATGGAAGCAAGAAGCACAATAGTTAAAACGTTAGTATATTTATAGTTTTTACATGAGATGATATGATGTGATATTGTACTGAGGAACCATAGATGTTTGAAGTATGACGACTATCTTTCAAGAATTAAAGACTATTACCAAGCAATAAAACTATTTCATTTGATTAACCTTGTTACATTAACGTAAAAATTTGGAGAGGAATGTGATGTAGGCATCAGCATAAGTTTACGTTGATGTATACGATGTAGACGGTAAACGTTACTGCTGACGAATCTACTCATTGTGGAACTACAGAAATAGACCTAACTTGTCAGTTCCTCAAGAGCACGGGTTCACAAGAGCTTCGAAATTAGGAGATCCTGAGTAACAATGGCCTTGCTCAACCTTCGTCTCCAATATATAAACAAGAATGAGGAAGTATGTCAGTAGATGAAACGACTTGATCTAACTATGAACAGTACCTTATATATATATATATTATATATATTGGCTACTATAGGAAAGTCTTTTAGTGGACATAGTCGAGTCTTAAAAGATTTCAACAATACATGGAATAGTTTTCTGATTAAGTGAAATCATACAATATTGAATAACACTGGCTAAATTCAACAAGTAGCCTAGAAAATGCGGATAGTGTCTGTTGATAAGAACTGTCAAGTATAAAATGTCAAAATGTTAAGCATATTTAATCATTAAAACTGGCTAATAATGAACACTGAAGAACGATAACTGATAGAGTAATGAAAAATATGTTAATGTTCATACCGAGTTACAACATATGGAGTCATCAAAAAGCTATCTCCAGCTGTACGAGCCAAACCGAAATCCAGAATTTTCAAACTACAATCATGTTTTACAACAATATTACTAGGTTTTAAATCTCGATGGATTATACCGGCTGCATGTAAATGTTTTACACCACATAAGACTTGATACAGTAGATATGAGGTTCGTTCATGATCTAAATCAAGATTGATCACCTGAAAATAAGGGAAATGTGCTAAATTGTATATTAAACAATCATATTACTAATTGGATGATAATTTCAGAACGTACACAACTTCATAACATGAGGAAGAATGATCATCCATTCACAGATCATGAACAAAATGGCTAATTCATAGACTATTTAAGACACAATCCACATTAGAATTACAACTAGAATATGTATCGACTGTATAGAGTGTAAACATAGTAAAGTTTGCATTAACATTATACGTTTACTAGAAGCTATATTGTATCTTAGACCGATAGGTCCTGGGTTCGAATCTCACGAGGCAGGATCGTGGATGGGCACTGTTGAGGAGTCTCACAATAGGATGGAACGACCATCCAGTGCTTCCAAGTTCTTCATAGTGATCTAGTTTCAACTGACTCATGAGCTCAACTATTGAAATTAAAATCATTTCTTTGTGATATATTATTTCGGTATGTGTAAATATTTCTAACAACATTGTATGGAGAATCATGTCTATATTAACCAGATAATCGTTTATTTGAGATCAAGTTAAATATTTTACCTTAAATTATTGAGATGTTAGAAATCAATATAATTGATCTAATAAGAAACTGATCAAATAATAAGTGTACGTGTAATGTTTGTTAATCATCCTTTAAGTGATTCTTGTATCTGTGTCATTACAAACCATAATAATTCAAATAAGAGTATTAATGAAATTTCTATTTTGTTATATCTAACTGATATGAACAGAAATAGTTTGTGTTATGGTGGAAATCACTGATAGATCCTGTTTAATTTATTGATATTTTGCTCTGTGTTGTTTAATATGATCCATTAACTATCAACTTTCATCTTGCTGCTAATTGATCTTTAACTTTTCTATATCAGAAGGGGTTTTGTGGAGATTTTAGTGATTTCAATAGTTGGAGTCATGAGTCAATTGAAGCTAGACCACCATTGGAAACCTGAAAGCACTGGATGGACGTTTCGTCTTAATATGGGAATCGTTAGAAGTGCGCATCCACGATTTGGCCTCGCGAGATTCGAAGCCAGGACCTGTCAGTCTCGCGCGCGAGCGGGGGTGGGATCATGAATGCGCATTGCTGAGGAGTCACATACTAGGACGAAACAGACGTCCAGTGCTTCCAGGTTTTCCATGGTGGTCTAGCTTCAATTGGCTCATGATTTCAACTATTGAAGCTTTTCTGTAAATGAAAAAGAGAGTGCAACATATGGGATCGGTTCTAAAATGTACTGTGACAACCAGTTTTATGAATAAATGAATATGACTGTTAAAGTATATCCTGAACCTTTTAAATCTGAACAATTAGTCAAAAGAGTCATGATTTGTTAATGTATACTTCTTCACTAGGATTCGAGATAAACAAATAACAAATTAAAATCACATTAGTTTAAGTGTATTTATTGCTTAATGAGAATTTCAAAATCTTTTTTAAAAACATTTTCATGTCTTCTTTGAATACACTGTTGTTAAGTGTATCTGAATTGAGTTATACATGCACTTTGCCTACTGTCAGTCTTAAGGATTATACCAAAGTATCTACTAAATTATGAATAATTATGTTATGTATGTATAAAATGGATAGATAAAGTAGATTACATCACTGGAATCAATCAAATGCCTAACACATCTATGAATTCAAAGGAGAAGTGTCAAAGTATGAATTGTAGAAAGAAAGTTAATTACCTGACACAAATTGGCATCCATAAACTCCATCACCAAATAAACATCTTGAAAATCTTGCAATGTTTGTTGAGGAGTAAATGCGTTTAATAATGATATGATCTAATGTGAAGTAGTAAACAAAAATATAGCAATGATCGAGAGATAAGAGATTACAAATATACAACAGTAAACACAGTGTATGTACTGTGAGATATTGAAAATGCTTACACCTTCCGCTTTTAATATTGCCAACGCACTGAAAAGTAACGGTTGTGTAGTAGATCAAGTTGACTTACATTAGCTAAGAAAGCAGTATTTCATTTTGCCAGAGAATTTTAATCTTTAGACAGATTGACAAGTAAACTTTACACCTATATATAAAGTGACTAATGAATCAGTAATATGCAACATAGAAATTGATATATGTACTTGAGATAGATATTCCAAGACAAATCCCAAAGTGGTAAAAAAAATTAGATACGGAGAAAGGAAAACTGTACAGGGAGACTTCTGAACGTTCTAAAAGATAAGGCGTGAATACACCTACGCTATTGTGAACGATTCCGAGTCATGTCACCCAATTATTTATTTGAACACATAAATATTGGTACAAGGGGTAGCAAATACATATATGTAGCAAAATAACAATGAGGTTGTGAAGAAACAGCGAATTGGGGTTGAGTATAATTAAAAGATGAGCAACAATGAACAGAAATAAGTGTATTAGAGTGAAATAATAATACTAATGGGATAAACAGCTTAATCGGGAAAAATACAACCAGAAAGAATTATTTCAGTTAAAGTTACTTTCAATTTTATGGAGGAAGTAAAAAGAAGTTACAACAGGATCGCCACTGGCTTCTATTCTGAGTCATAACTGATAACGTCTCTAGCCACTGTGTTGCACCACCTCTCGGACCCCAACCAGGGAGTCGTGAACGACCAACATAAGCCAGACCTCTGTAGCTTTCTTTCACACTACCACACCATGTCAAACACTGACCACCTACCCGATTTTTTTAACCAGTCCCAGCATCGGCAAATAATGCAAGACGTGGAATTCTCTGGGACGACACTCGTAGAACATGTCCAAGCCACCGAAGTCAGTGTTTCAAGATGGTGACACTAATTGCATTATCGTCTCTGTGCCCGAACACACCATGCCGAACCTGTGCATTACTAACATGGTGTTGCCACTGGATGTCAGCAATCCTTCTGAGACAGCGACGATCGAACACAGAGAGTCGTCTAACGTCCTCAACTCGGAGAGGCCAGGTTTCACAAGCATAGAGCGTTGTAGATTCGACCTTTTAAAGCCAGACTAACATCACGAAGGCGCAAAAGATGGCCAAGATCGGTATTGATTGCCAACTGATTAAGCGTGGATTGCATGGCTCGGGCATTATCGCACAGTAAGACAATATCATCCACAAACTCACGGTTAAGAAGTCTCTCCTGGCAGCAGATCCACACCTCCATTACTTACATCCATCAGAGTTGTTTCCAAAATGTCATCGATGGGAAAGTTGAAGAGAAATGGTGAGATTGGGCAACCCTGTCTAACCCCACTGCTTGAATGGAACAATGGAGAGAGGTGGTTCTCTGCCCTCACTCTCCCTGAGGTGTTTGTATATAGGTCTTTTAGGATGTTAATAAACTTCTCAGGCGCACCCTTCCTCAATAGACAATCCCAGAGGACAGTCCTGTCCAACGAATCGAAGGCAGCCCTAATGTCAAGAAACACTACGATTGTTGACCTTTGATAAGTATGGCGGTGTTCTAACATTTGGCGGAGGGTGAAGATATGATCAATACATTCTCGACCGGAATGAAAACCAGCCTGCTCCTCACTGGTCAGTCTTTCTCGGGTTTTGAGCAACCTACGAAGTATGACGGAAGCCAATAGCTTGGACGCAATCGGAAGTAGACTTATCCTCAGATAGTTATTACAGGAACGACGTGAACCCTTTTTAAAGATAGGGAAACTATCGACTCATTCCACAATGTTGGTACACTCTCTAGTTCCCAAACCTTTGTAAACAACGTCGTCAATTCCTTAGTCAGAAAGTTACCACCATCTTTAAAAAGAGCCGGAGGTAAGTCATCTGGGCCTAGTGATTTGTAGCGCTTCAAGAGCTAGAGTTCCTTGCGGACTTCCGCCTCATTTGGTGGATCAGTCTTCACCGGTCATGGAGGGCAGGGAAGTCTGATCGATGTTGTCGGGGCAACAGACCAGTTGAACTACCCCTCGAAAAACACTGCCCATCGTCCAAGACGATCACCCAAAGTCTATAACCATTAGTTACGACAATCAGACAAATCTCAACCAGATAGTCTACACCTATTTATCTGGATTAATTTAGTTATCTGTCACTTCATGGACTGGTCCTACGTCTTGATTTGGTCGCCCCTAGCTTTCCTCCAACCCTATCCTACATCAGACAACATTCCCTCTCGATGTAGGCGGGAAAATATAACATTTTCCACACACAAATGATGACGATTCACTATCTCACCAAAAAATTATGAACTGTAAAACGTTTTTATTCTGTCTTAATCTATCATACAGCATGTTCTTCAAAATCCAACGGATCACCTAGAAACTGAAGTAAAGTTACACGTATCAGAATCATTGCAGTATCAAAAATGAAAAACTATCTAAAACAATTAGTTCCTTTGATAAATTTCGATAATGCAATGAGAAGACGAAGTTTATCAGAATTATGTGTCGAAAAGATTAAATATCAAAAATGAAAAGTAATACATCTAACAACTCAAAAATAACTCGTATTCCTGATTTTCACCCTTATGCATAATACATAGTTTTGAAATTGGAAACCGTACAGTGATAAGTTGTTTAACACTCCTCTAAATTCCTATGAATCACCTCCCAGTTTTCCATAGTCATTTTAACGATCCGACTTAATTTAATATAATGATTTCGCTTTTATCGAGTTTCGAAATAATATTCTGAAGAGCATACTAATTGAAACATTTCATTGGGAATAAGGAACAAATAGATAGTGAAAAACTAAATTTCATTGGTCAAGATCATGAGTTAGTTGAAGCTAGACCACCATGGAAAACCTGGGAGAACTGTATGGCCGTTTCGTCCTACTGTGGGACTCCTCAGCAGTGCGCATCCACGACCTCGCCCCCTGCGAGATTCGAACCCAGGACCCACTGGTTTCGCGCGCGAGCACTTGACCACTGGACTTACCGGCATCCAACGGTGTTAATGTCTAACTTCAACTAATCCACGAAATTGAGCGACGCATCCACCATTGTCTTCAGTGAGTTACTATCTCACAACAGATCTGGTTGAACTCCACTGGTCACTACTTCTCACTAGAACTCCAGGATATACCACTTGAAGCCAGTCACTAGTGAGCATATTTTGATTAATATCAGATGATATTAAAAACTAAATTATCAAATGGATTCGCGAGGATAAAACAATCACAAACATTTAATACATGGAGAATCATTGAATTAATGCCTATTACAGTGAAACAAACAATTGACTAGGAATAACTATTCAATGATTTTCCATTTTTTTAAAACAGCAAATATATACCCTTGTCCGGGTTGTTTTTTAAGAGGCCAATGAATTTAAATTAAACAAGTGTAAACATTAATTTTTAAAGATTATATGCAGTACACATAAACTTAACAAAGATATAATTATTCTAATAGATGGTCCACATCCACACTGAACAACATCCAAATAATAGAGGAAATAGGAATTCCAAAGAAACAATAAGTTAATTAATTATGAGGTTATTATTTTGATGAGTTAATTCAAAAATGATGAACAGATAGAAAAAGGAATATAACGATTGTTTTAACTCATTGTTAATTCCTGGAAGGCTGATTATCTGTAATTCCTTAACCATATCTCTTCGCATAGTGTAAATCAATAGTTAGGTATATATTTGTGCACCAACTTTCGAATTAAATTTACTGTGTGAATATCACGGATACTACTTAAATGATAAAAACAAAAAAAAACGATACAAGTTTAGACTGGATGTGTTTTAATTAACAAGCTACAGCTCTACTGTACATTCAGTAATCGATTGGAACGTTATTTCTTCATACATCGTCAGTAAATAATCAACAATGGAAATGTGGAAGAAAGTTTCTTCAGTTTTGAAAAGATAAAACAAGCAGAATTCTATCTAGATAAATTGATAAACTGTAACAACTGAAGAATAAAATGACGTGATACAAACACAAAACCAACTGAATTTGTAGATATATTCCGATGACAAATTAACGGAAGGTATTCTTTGTTTCTATAACCAAACAAACGCTTATTAGTAACAAAATAATTAGGTCCGTTAATTAGATGAACTAATAGTATGGAGAAGAACACAAAGAGAAAGAGTCAAATTTACTAAGTTCAGTTAAGGTTAATATAACGGAACTAAGAACACAAACGAAATTTGTGATACATTCTGGTTGTGTCCATTTGAAATGAAAACACATACTTGGTATGTGAAAGATGGCTAGTCAACCACTTAAACACTTACTAAGAAATATGAGTCAGTGGATAAGACATTTTAAAAAGATTGGACTTTCCTAAACTTCATGATTGATCTATCTACAACGATTGACAGACAACATCACGTTAACTTCCTGGAAGTTTTAAATCACAATCATTAATAGGTCTCAACAACATCCAGTTGATTGAATAGAATAAGCCTTACATTTGAAATGTAGCTGGAAGCTGAACACAAAACACTTGTGCACGATAAATGGGTTACATTTATTTTGACAATCTACTGGTTTTATTTGTATTCAGCCAAATGATTCTTATTTATATTTTGGTGAACTATATGAAATCAGTCGTGTGAACAATGATATGTTAATCCACTGAATTTTCGCTGATGAATAATAGAACAGGTAGAATCGGGCATTACGAAACTGAGTCTATTAGCTAAGTGGATAATGCATCGGTGTTTGAAGCGAATGGTATTGAGCTTGAGTCATGGAGTCAACTTCAACTCTAAGATGCAGGTATATCAAATTTCGCAGTTCAGTTGAGTTTCTTCATCCAATAAAGAATCCCTCATGTAATCTGATGTACGGTGAAGTTTACTAACCAAATCCGAAAATAATTTATTATCATCAAGGATTAGTAATTGAACAATAAAACAGATCAACGTGGCTAAACAAAATTACAAGATAATCTACAAAAACAGAGGTAAAGCGTAGGCCATAAAGCTGGCACTGAAAAGAAAACAGATTACTAACATTTTTGTGGTTCACCAGTTTCATCAAAACAAATTCACGATAGGCACGTTTGGCATGTGTAACATTTTGAAAAGGACGAGCCAATTTTTTAATGGCAACATCTTGTTTGAGTACTGAATCATAGGCAGCTCTGTAGGAAGAAGCAAACAGAAGATCATTTCAATATAACGGATTTAATGTAACTCATTTGCCAAGTACATATTTATGTACTCGGTAGCTTTGAAGAATACTATCGATGTAACGGCTTGTGATAATGTTAGTTTTAGCAAATCGAAATAAATGGAGAGGAGTTTGGAAAGGCAAATTACTGATTAAAAACTGAGTGCTCTAATCACTAACCTATCGCTGTATCCATTATTTAATAGGGAGTACATAAGATCAATGTTTATGTGACAATTAAAAATAAGACAAATGGAACAGTTACATAAACTTGGATAAAATAAAAATTATACGAGTGATGGGTGAAAACAGACATTTTGGTATTTTATGCACTCAGCAGAGAACCGAGTTATAGGCAACATTTTATTGTGGTCTTTATAACACCTTAAAATCCACTGGTTCATTTGGGTAAATCGCACGTACAACAATGCATTTCGGTCACCTAGTCGAAGAACCTAAAGATACACCGAAATGTGTTTTATCCTGAGTAAACAAAAGGCGTATGAACCTATTGTTGGTCACCAGCTACCATGGGGCTGAATCTCCTGACGTTGCTCCACTGCCTTGTTGACTAAACCTTTACGTCGAAGGCTCCGGGCGTGGCGCCCTAAGAAAACCACGTGCTTTAGATTGTGCCCGGACAGTATTTCAGCTTTTACACATATCAAGTGATTTGTGTGGCGCAAATATAATTGGTAACTTCTTGTACTAATATTTATGTTTAAACAAATAAATAAACACAACCAGGAATTTTCAAACAGCTTAATTTATCAAGCTTTATCCTCGTGTCAACCGGTTGTAGTCAGTCTTAGACTGACAAACTAGTTTTTGCAAGCATCAGACAAACAGACATCAATACACAATGTAACGCAAATGTACATTAGCACAAGTTGACAAATCATATTAAAATGATGAGACAAAAATACCAAGAACAGCGAAAGTCTGATAGCAATAGTGATCAGACATAGAGTACAAAGGTGTGTATTAAGAAATACGGAAATTCATAACTGTGATTAATATCAAGAGTGAATGTAATCGAGACATTGTGAATGATTCTCAGCCATGTCATCCAAAATTTATAACCACTAAGACAATCACGCAAATCCCAATCAAGTAGCCTTCATCCCCCAAAACAGTTCAGACTAAATGCCAATGACTTCATAGGTTGATGCCATGTCTTAGTTTGGATATTGTAGTACTAGCCGGAGACTTGAATGCTCAGGTCGGGCGTCTAGGCACAGAAGAGAATCGTTTAGGTGGCCGATGGGGACTTGTTGGTCGTAGGACAGATAACAGGGACCGTCTACTGCAACTGTGCACAGACCACAACCTGTTTCTGGCTAGCACTAACTTCCAGCACAGTCATCGCCAATGTGCCACCTGGCGTCCTCCCTCTGCATCTCAAGCCTGGACTCAGATTGATCACATCGCGACCAGCTACCGCTGGTGTGGTTCTGTACAAGACTGCCGCTCATTTTGGAGTACCTATCTGGACTCTGATCATGCCTTGGTCTGCGCCAATCTTACCTTACTTTTCAGTGGCCAACGAAGTGACCCCCATCAAAGGATTGATGACAGCAAGCTGGTTGCCGCTACATGACGCCATGAAACAGGCGAGTAAAGCTGCTTGCCGCTTCACGAAACGGCCCGCTTATAAGCACTGGGTTTCTCCAGGCTTCTTACAACTCATCGAAGCCCGTCGGTCTACTCCGGGTGACCGTGAATTTGACCACAAACGAAGGACGTTACGTAATGAAATCGGAGAAAGCTTGTGTAAGGACCGAGAAGCCCGAGAAAGATTGACTCGCGAGGAGCAGGTAGGATTTCATTCCGGTCGAGGATGTATTGATCATATCTTCACCCTCCGCCAAATGTTAGAACACCGCCATACTTATCAAAGGTCAACAATCGTAGTGTTTCTTGACATTAGGGCTGCCTTCGATTCGTTGGACAGGACTGTCCTCTGGGATTGTCTATTGAGGAAGGGTGCGCCTGAGAAGTTTATTAACATCCTAAAAGCCCTGTATAAAAACACCTCAGGCAGAGTGAGGGCATACAACCACCTCTCTCCATTGCTCTATTCGTGCGGTGGGGTTAGGCAGGGTTGCCCAATCTCATCATTCCTCTTCAACTTTGTCATCGATGACATTCTGGAAACAGCTCTGATGGATGTAAGTAATGGAGGTGTGGATCTGCTGCCTGGAGAAAGACTTCTCGACCTTGAGTATGCGGACGATATTGTCTTACTGTGCGATAATGCCCACGCCATGCAATCCGCACTTAATCAGTTGGCAGTCTGTGTCCGTAAGTATGGTATGTGCTTTGCACCTTCGAAGTGCAAAGTACTTCTACAAAACTGGCAGGATTCTAATCCTGTACTCACCCTGGACGGTGAGCAGATAGACGTAGTTGAGAAGTTCGTGTATCTGGGTAGCTGCATAAGTGCTGGTGGGGGTGTGAGTGATGAGATCAATGCACGAATAGTGAAAGCCAGAGCGGCTTATGCCAATCTGGGCCACCTTTGGCGCCTTCGTGATGTTAGTCTGGCTGTAAAAGGTCGAATCGACATCGCGTCGGTGAGAGCAGTTTTGCTATATGCTTGTGAAACCTGGCCTCTCCGAGTTGAGGACGTTAGACGACTCTCTGTGTTCGATCATCACTGTCTCAGAAGGATTGCTGACATCGAGTGGCAACACCATGTCAGTAATGCAGAGGTTCGGCATGGTGTGTTCGGGCACAGAGACGATAATGCAATTGGTGCCACCATCTTGAAACATCGATTTCGGTGGCTTGGACATGTTCTACGAATGTCGTTCCAGAGAATTCCACGTCGTGCATTATTTGCCGATGTTGGGACTGGTTAAAAAAATCGGGTAGGTGGTCAGTGTTTGACATGGTGTGGTAGTGTGAAAGTCGCAAAGGGCTGGCTTATGTTGGTCGTTCACGACTCCCTGGTTGGGGTCCTAGAGGTGGTGCAACACAGTGGCTAGAGACGTTATCAGATATGACTCAGAATAGAAGCCAGTGGCGATCCTGCTGTAACCTTCTTTTACTTTCTTCATAAAAGATGGTTGTTTCTTTTTAAGCTGAAAGATTTCTTCTGATTGTACCTTTCCGTTTCTTCCATTATTACTATAACACTACCTTACACTAATCTGTTCACTATTGTTTTTTTACGCTCCTTACCCTTTTTTCTCTTCGAATCCTCGTTGTTTTGTGTGGCGCATATATATTTGGTGCCCTCTTGTACCAATACTTATATGTTCAAATAAATAAGAGTTTGGACGCCCCTACCTAAATTCTAACCTACTCCTACACCAGTAAACACCCGTCTGGGTAGTTGGTGGTTAGGCATGCGTAACACGTGTTTTGACCACCTCAATCGATGGATATTGGCAACGTAATTAACAGATTTGCCACATTTCTTTAGTAACATACCCCTAACCTTAACATTCGTCTGTTTCACGATGTCAGCGATGCTTCAAAGAAGCCTACGATTAGGAACATGCAGGCCATATATATTTATCTTATAGTTATATTTCAAAGCCGAAAAGTATTAAAGAGAGGACTGTTGAGCAGTAAGTCAGTGATAGCCAGGAAATACTCATTGAATCGGAACAAAAAATCACAATATAGCGCTGTTACATGTGAACAAACATAATCACAGACGGAATCCCATGTAAAAGCAATATGTACAAATCAAGATCATGATGCATAAATTCTGTCAATGGTACACAATTTTATTCGTATGGAGAACCAGTTTGAACTTTGAAATGAAAATACTTAGATGGGCTATCTACATAGTAAAATAATCATCTTTTTATAAAACGGATTAGACAGTGTAGTTACATACGAAACCACACCAGCAAAACACAAACAACTCGAACTCTAAGCAAAGAAATAACGCAGCATTCAGACCACAATTTAATTGATGATTGTCCATGAGTATCACAAACAGCAAATAACTGTAAAGAAAGATATGCTTATTATGGTTTAATTTCACTACAAAACTTCAAAGTATAGACATAGTGATCAATCGACCAGATATGTGAACGTAAGAGATAAATCAACAAAGTTTTGCGGACTACTCACTGCGAAGGGTATCCTGATAGCTTATTTTCAAGTGGTGGTTATATGTAGGGAGTAGGGCATAAATATTGGGGAACAACAGACCTACAGAGAAAGTGGAGGCTAATCAGTACAGTCGCGTTAAAGGACTGTAAAGCCTTCACAAATGTGTTTTCTTAGTGCCACTCGATAAAAAAGTGCGGAGCTGCTAACAAAGCATTACCCACATAATCGAGGAATGAGGAAACATCACGAATCCCAGTTAGACTAAGGATATGCAACAATAACTGATCCAACAGAAGCTATGTAAATGCATAATCCCGACTGAGTTGCCACTGATTTGCTTTAAAATGAAATTTCGTGACCTGATTTATTTATTTTTTCGATAAGTCCTGAAAATCTGAGTAGTACCAAGAATCAGTTTTATTTTCAAATCTCCGAGACATTGTAAGTTCACTAAGAACACACCTCGTGCTTAAAAAACCTACAGAAATTGTAAAGCCGATTGACCCAATTGTTGAAGCATAATATAATACTCCGATATTGAATTTAATTTAAATGGTTAACTTACACAACAAAGCCCTGAGCTCCAGAACCAATGGGCTTTAAATTAGAGTACCGTAAAGGTACCACAAATCTAGCGTCCCCCACAACTTCAACGTGATACCCAGGAGGAATGTTGTTTGCCATTTTTGAGTTTATGTACATAGTCTCCAAAGTTAAGGAGGCTACCTGCTTTACATTGAAAAAAGAGAGAAAGGACCAGACATCATAAGCAGCGCCACCACTCTGTTGACCTTAAATAATCAATATATCGGATACTTGTGATAAGCTTTGATTGATTGTTGCAGTTTGAATATATATATATATATATATATATATATATATATATATATATATATATATATATATATATAGTTCATAAAAGTTCGAATTCAGAAGCGCAAATAGAAGACGACTAACACAGTAAAAGGAAGGACAGACTGACCAGCAATGCAGACTATGTAATTGAATAAAGGTATAAGAGTAGCACGTAAGAAGAGAGCTAAGAATAAGTAGATGGCATTCGTTAATAACAACAGATATATAAAGCACAGCTATCTCAAGAAGCATGTGATAAGTGTGTATACGTTTCTCAAGTCTTCTTTTGGAGTTATCTTCTAAGGGTGCTCTGCTTACTTCGTCTAGGAGAGCATTCTCCATCCAGTCTTCAGTCTTCAGTAATAAGGATAATAGGTTGATGAACCTGTATTAATCCCGACACACTGCTTTCCAGTGAAGGTCCAGCTTCTCCTTGAAAGTATTCACTGATGGGGCTGATACCACTTGTTCAGGTAAGGCGTTCCAATGATTGACTGTCGATGAGAAAAACGGGACCCCACTTTAAGTTTATCAGATCGTGGTTTATGAACCATTTTGCTATGACCTCGGAGATTATTAATGCTGGAGGGAGCAAAAAGATAAAACATATTAACACCCAAATCATAATTAAAGGTACGAAATGCCAGTATAAGGTCACCTCGTGTCCTATGATACGACAAGAGGAAAAGATTTAGGCGTTTTAAACGCTCATCGTAAGGGAGTCTAGAAAGATCCTTCACTAATTTCGTTCCCACACGCTGGACACGCTCAAGGGAGTTAGTATCCTTTACCAGACACGGGTTAGCTGCTTGGATACAGTACTCTAAATGTGGTCTTACATATATGGGATATAAAATTCGAAACGTTTCCTCGTCAAAAGATATGAACGCTCGGTGAAGTGACCATAACGCACGAAAACCTTTGACAGCGGCTGCTTTGCAATGCGTAGTTGTTTTTAAATCATGACTTAATACTACTCCTAAGTCTTTATGCTCTTGAACGCATGGAAGAGGTTTACCCTCAATAGTGCAACGGTAACTATTACCGTGACCGATGTGCATCAGCACACTCTTCCTAGCATTGATTTCTAAGCCCCACTCTCGAGCCCATCTAACTAAATCGTCTAAGTCAGCTTGAAGATCCAGATGATCAGCCGCACTTATTATTGTTCTCCAGATTTTACCGTCATCCACAAACAATAATGTCGATAATCTTTTTTTGAGAAAGACTGAAGTTACTCCCGGGTTCCCGCTCATTCATGCACACTTCTCCGGGGATTGTTGTATTCAGGCGACTCGACGTATTTAATATGTTGCGTCCCATTATCAGATCACGTATTATTCTCTTATACCTTAGAGAAAACAATTCCAAGTGCCGGAGTCTATCTTCGTAAGATTTATTCCTTGATTTTTTCACCAACCTGGTTCCTCACCTATGTATTTGTTCCTAAAGATATCTTTTTTGAAGAGGAAATGCACAACAGCGTTTCAGACTTCGAGGTTAGGTATTGAGTGCGTCTTCAAGTGTCAAACACGGTTCTGAGGTGACTACAAAAAGTTAATTTCATGCAAAGTAAAGAGATTCTTCTGTTTTTGAGGTATCGCCAATGCAATTTGAATTGGTTTCTGAACAATCTGTGGCTAGTAGTCCTAGAGTGTGCTCTGAGGACAGAATTGGAAGCGGATTTTTACAGAGTAGTATCGTGTCAAACGCCTTCCAGAAGTCGAGGAATGTTGCATGGACTGGTTCCTTTTAATCCCAGAAGGTTTTCAGAATTATGGTCTACCTCGGTATTAGTACTGCTCTAACAATTGACCTAATCCTCAAATTGTAGATTTGTCATGTTGTAACTGCCTAATCATTAAGATCTTACGTGGAAGTCCAGACTGACTCATTGTAACGTAAAATTACCAACATATGATGGAGAACACACTCAGGCATGAGATAGAACAATAAATTTAATATGAGTAAAAGCAAGTTGCACAGATTGACCGCGACTGCGTGACTGGGCCATGCCACCCGATTAATTCGGCACTGGAAAAACGATAGAGCCTTTCAAAGCTGCCCGCCCTTTCGTTTCATCGACCTTGAACGGCCTGACAAGACGTAGTAATTTCGTATTTCAATCGCTGTGGATTTGCTGGGTTGCATGAGTATTAGGTTTTTCATATTTAAGTCATCTTTTGCTGCATTAAAAAGCACAAAATAACTGTCAAAAGCATTAATTTAATATTCTCTGTTTTATGGTGTACACGTTGGCTCTGTTATTGCTTCGTAACTTGATCTGTGATCCCAGCTGCTGTAGTAAACCTCAACGAAATGTAAAGTCACCGGTTAGTCTAAAATATTTGTAGTATTATTGTTTCAAGGAATACTTTTTTTATAATTGATGATTTCTGTTTGTAGTGCTTCATGCTCAACTGACATTTCAGACTACCTTAGCGATGCTTTTCAAAGTATAATACTGAACAAACGTTTCGCATGCTGGGATGACTTTGGTTGCGTGCTAAAAGAGTTCCAAAAAGTATGGAAGAATAATTTTATCCTTTCTCAGACTACCCGTACTCATTACATCCACACAGAAAGCAAGTTGCTGAATGATGTCAGGTTCAAATACCTGTTTGTTACGTTTCACTGTAAATTCGGTCATAAGCGTAAAGCGGAAGGTTTGAAAGTGAATCAAAAACCGTGAGAACTTTAACTAATATCTGACATTTAAGGTCCAGGTTCCTTAATTGCCAATCAAAGTTCCGTGTAAGAATGGAGGAGCAAAGATATGTACTTTGTTACCTTATCTACAACTCATATACTTCTATACTTTTCCGCCTGCTTTAATAAACATTTATCCCACATTATACCCTTCTTAATGCTTATACTCTGATTCGCAAACTACTTTATACTATAGTCAATTAAAGCACTGCATCGATGCCTTACCCGCAGTCCATAACTTATAACTGTCTGATAAGCTTGTAAAATAGTACTTATAGAAACAGTGTTTTCCAACAGGATGTGAAACACAGAGGATTGTGTGAGGTATGACATATATCAGAAAATAAGCTTAAGTGAGCCTAACATCACAAAAGGAGGGAGGGTGGAGTTACTGACCAGCAAGCATTGATGGTGAGCGCGATGACTTCAATCCACCTGTTTGTGGGACAGAACATTTTGTATGTACCGGGCCATTTATGATTGAGAAGAAGCCAATCAATCTGTGATATAGATTGTCTTCCTACGCTCACCAATCAGACTCATGGTTCCAATTTTATGCTGGATTAGCTATTCTATTAAGACAACCTATAACATGCCAACTCAGACTTTCCCACTAGGATTGTGTGGCTGGCATCGGATGGGCAAAAGAAGAAAAGAAAGAAAAAATCAAACGATAAAAGATATAGTTATTTGTATTCTTAACACTCCACCCTCTATATGCACACTCCCTTCTAATAAACCGCTTTTCTTGTGCCAACCATGACTTCCGTTCCTTCATGTGAGCTTACTCCAACTTGTTAAACGACACAACTCATTGTTCTTTATTAGTACATTCTCTAATGTGGAGCCTCTGACTTCACTTCACTCTAACAAGACATAATATGAATTTATTCTAATTTATTATACCTCTGTCCGTTCTACTACACAATGTTAAGCAACCTTTGGCGTTCATATCCAAGTGCCTTGCTGCTCTTCTGTTTCTCTTTTTTTGTTCTTCAGAATCTTGCTCTGAGAGCACAGCTATGGAACTTCTGACGTCTGGAACAAACTTGACGTACTCGTCTCCCCAAGGTCATGGTTTACAGCAAGTGCTCTACGTGTCTACTTCATGACAACTATAAACGTAATAAGTTGTGAAGCGTGCTGTGTGCCAACAAATGTTGTAAATTATAGATCATGCCCGCAAAAATGGTGTGTACCTGCTCATGCAGAAATATATTATTATTATTATTATTATTATTATTATTATTACAAGGATGGTTGTGAACATATCCTTACTCCCCATTCTTATATGGAACTTTGATTGGCAATTAAGGAACCTGGACCTTAAATGTCAGATATTAGTTAAAGTTCTCACGGTTTTTGATTCACTTTCAAACCTTCCGCTTTACGCATATGACCGAATATACAGTGATAATCCTGGCAGAAATGTGTTTTCCTTGTAATTGGAGACTTGCGAAAGCACAATTGCTTACTAGTTGCCCCAGTTATAATTAGCACTTGCTTAAAACGTATTTCGGGTTGGTACTGCATTCCATGCAATAATCCACAGAGCTCAGACCAAGAAATTCCAGTACTCAATATCTTTAACAAAAGCCTTTATAAACCAAATAATTTCCTTACACTCGCTTCTAGTTTTTTCAGCAGGGCTCTAGATATTTGGTAATGTCCAATTGGTGATGGTTTATCCACTCAACTGGGCTAATTCTATTCAGTTTCGTCAGCGTTTTGGGATTTGTATATCTTCGAGAATGTGGTGGCTGAGAACCAATAGCACTATAAATTTCATGAGTCCCGTTGGTGTAAATGAATGGGATGTAATGGGGCTGTATTACGTAGGGCTCCAGTTACTGATTAAGATAACTAAACATTCGGTTTTATCAATAGACATTGACTTTCGACTAACTGACGGGAGCGAAATATTTTAAATAGTTGGTAGAAACAAAGTGAATTAATAGCGACTGGTGAGGTTTCTTATGGGCATTATTTTCGAAAGTCGACACAAGTATTTGGGCATAGAAGTAATTTAGTGTCAGTCTGGGGGAGCATGACCATCTGAAGTCGTCTCTAGTCACAATTCGTAGAAGTATCGATTGAGAGTGTAGACAGGAGAACATTATGGAAACTTTTTCTACACT